AGGGGAGAGTTTAGGGGGCAGGTTTGTAGGGTATACCCTTTGGTCGGTTGATGATGCATGGAGGGGATTGGAACTATGACAATGAAATGATATACAATGGAATGAATGTAAAACTAAAGTTCTCTCATGTAAACTATCATATAATTCACAATAAAACATAAAAAAAAAAAAGTTAAAGGCTCCCTTTATCCTCCCGCTATCCTTCCCATTTCCTTCTGGAGGCAATCAATGTTACAAGTTGGATATATTTGTCTAGATCTTTTATGTATTACATTGTTTTTGTTATTAGGTGGTATTGAGTCAGCTCCAACTTCTAGTGACCATTTGTACAGCAGATCAAAACTCTGCCCAGTCCTGTGCCATCTTCACAATCTTTCCTAGGTCAGAGTCCATTCTAACAACCACTGGACCAAGTCAGCTCATTGAGGATTTTCCTCTTTTCTTGCTGATCCTCTGTTTTACCAAGCATGATGTGCTTCTCCAGGAACTAGTCCTTTCTTATAACATGACCAAAGTTTATGAAAATAAATCTCACCTCATAAGGAGCACTCTCTGGCTGTACCTCTTCCTAGACAGATTTTTTCATTCCATGGCACATTCAATATTCTTCACCATCACCATTTTTCAAAGGCATCAATTCTCCTCCAGTCTTGCTTATTCATTGTCCAGCTTTTGCTTGCATATAAGGCAATTGAAAATTTCATGACTTGAATCAGGTGCACCTTACTCTTCAAAGTGACACCTTTTTTATTTTTATTTTTTTTAACCCCTTAGAGAGGTCCTTTGCAGAAGATTTGACCAATGCAAAATTATATATATAGAATTTAAAAAAGCCTAAGCTGATATATTTTACATACTGTTTTAAAAACTGCTTTATTCCTACTTGTAAGATATTTGTGAATTATTCCTGTCACTACATATTCTTGTTAATTTACATCTAATGCTCATTTGCATAGATATGTCCCACTTTATATAATCATCCCCAAACAGATGGGACATGTAGGTGGCTTCTAAGATATAAGTTTGAACATACTATCTTTACTTTTGAATATCTGTAGGACTGATTACTACACATATAACTGCTGATTTAGGACATGCATGTTTAAAGTTTTCATTTGTTAAATGCCACACAGAAAGGCTGTACTTATATGCTGTTTTTCTGGTATATCTATTTGTGGATGTTTTTTCATAGGAACCCTTGGGTGGACAAAATGATTAAGCACTCAACTACTAACTCAAAGTTTGAGTGATTTGAACCCACCTAAAGGTGCCTCTGAAGAAAGGCCTGGTATCTGCTTCTGAAAGGTCTTAACCTTGAAAACCCTATGAAGTACAGGTGTAGTATGCACCATATGGGGTCACCATGTGTCAAAATAGACTCAAAGGCAACTTTTTTCCCTCATTAGTGTAAACTAAATATAATTCCAATTCTCCATTTATTGCTGCTCCAATTCGTAAAAAATCCTGAATACATGTTTAATGCTTTAGTTTCTTTTTCCTTGATTAAATGTTAAACACATTTCTGGATTTATTGGCAATTTTTCTTTTTATGTTAGTGAAATGCCTCTTACACATCCTTTTCTCATTTTCCGTAAGGTACCTGGTCCATGGCAAGAATGATTTAGGTAGTACCACATAAAATATTTACTATTCGACCATGACAAGAAAGATTTGCAGACTCCTGTTCTATAGAAATATGTATTTAGATTTCATTACAGTTTTCCAGCTCTTGCTACATGGGTGTTATATATTTTGTGCTAGGTCCATATTTAAGGATTTAGAGTTTCTAAATGCTATTTTGAATAGAATATTTTTTCTGAAATTTGTTAGAATAGAATTTTGTATATTGATCTTGTTTCTGAACATGTCTATTCCATCAACTCTGTAGTATTTTTTATTAAGCAGCCATTAGATGTATTTTATATCTTTACTTTCTGTAATTTCCATCTTTCAAATTCCTTTCTTTCTTTCTTAACCTCTCAGAGAATTCTAGGTTCCTCGGACAATACTTGGAATGAAGTGGTCATCCTTCTTTTGTTCTTGACTTTAATTGGGGATGCTTCCAAATATATTGCCGTCTTGCACAATGCTTGCTTCAGATTGTTAATAGATGTCCTTTTTCAAGTTGAGGATGTTCCTTCCCATACTAGCCTATTAAGCATTTCTTGAACTCTTTCAATGAAGAGTGAACTACAAAAGTTTTTTTTCTTTATTGATCACTTTATAAATGAACTACAAGGCTATTTGGGGGGGAATAAGAGTAGTCATAGTATTATTAGTCTTTTATTATACTGCCAGATTCAATTTGCAGCTATCATATTGAGGAGTTCTGAGTATGTAATTCACATGTATAAAAACTTTTTTTTTTTTCTTAAATTATTCCCAATTTGGTCTTATAGAACTGCTATAACCCTTTCTATCCCTTTACATGTCAAGATACCATTTAAATGACTTAGAGAAAGGAAATGCAATCAATCTTAACCTTACAAATAGGTGTTTTTATAAATCACAGTCTATGGAGAAAGTTATCTTAGTGCCACAGATAATTCCGAGGATCATATGGACACCCTTGCTAGCTCTGAATGAAGAATAGATTCATCAGACTGTTGGTTTGGGAACAAAGCAGACAAAGAGATAGTGTCTCCACTGTTGTAAAAAGTTAAGAAAAGGTTTTCTTGATAAAAGAAACATTCTATAATGGTTACAGGGTGAGGGGATGGAAAATTAGTCACAGCTAAAAGGTAGATATATGTTGACATGGGTGATGAGACAGGCAATATACAACAAGAGGGAGGTTGGCAAAAGAAAGATGAAGGTAGCAGTAGACACAGGGAGAAATGCAAGACTTAAATTGAATAGTGGTAAATACTATTAACTGATGGTACATGGAGGGGATTGCAATCATTATAATGAAGCAAAGTACATGATATGCTAAATGTAAAACTGATGATCTGCTCTGTAAATACTTAGTTCACAACAGAAGGTTGTTGTTTTATTTTTAACCGAAAAAGAGATAGTCTCTCATTGCCAAGGCCAAGAATGAGAAAAGAAGTTGACCACTGGGGTGGTAAAAAGAAAACTCTGTGGCAGGTGTTTGTCTTTAGAAAATGATTCTAAGTTATATATTCATCTGTCAGGGATGGCCTCTATGGGAAAGAGTTAAACGTAGGTTTCAAGATCATGAGTGAATGTCAAACAAGTATGCTCTTTTTGAGAACATACTTTCTTACCTTATTAATTTCAGAACTTTCAAGTTTATGAATAATTCCTTTTAACCTAAAATCTTTCACAATTTCTCTTGCTATATTGAGCATGACATGAATTTCTTCCTTCGTTTTCATAGTGATGGCAATTTCTGGATGATCATACTCTAAGTAGCCTGAAGATAACAAAAACATTTTCAGATGAAATAAAGGCAGTGTCTTAAATATTTTGTGTAAACATGACCTAATAGTTCTGCGACAAACTTGTGGAGTGAATCTCACACAGGGGAATTCATCTCTCTCTGAGGGGACTGCTGCCATCAATCATTGTTTGCCAGTGGCACCAGAATTCTGTCTGTAACTGCTCATGTCTGCGGCTATGCCCATGGAGAAAAACAGACAACCCCAGGTCTAGGATTACCTGAGCCACTTGCACTAAGCTCAGGGCGGCTGTTCTGGAATTTATGTCTGGAGTGCTTGATCTGCTTTCCTATTCCATTTGAATCAGGATTTTTGTGTTCAGTTATGGTTCTGATTAAGTGGTTCCACTCAAACTTTTTATCTAGATGACTCATCTCTCTAAGCTCTCTTGTCTATCTGATCTGTATTCCTAGATACTTTACTTTTCCCCGTTAGACTCTATATGTGGGGCTTTTTATTGGTAGTGCCTCCTGTCTGGTTTGAAAACTATCTGCCATACTAGATCCTTCGTGTTGTTGTTGTTAAGTGCTGTTGAGCTGGTTCTGACCCATAGTGACCCTGTATACTTTATAGGGTTTTCAAGACTGTAAATATTTACAGATCAGAATGCCTCATCTTTCTCCTGCAGAACTGTTGGTAGGTTTGAACTGCTGACCTTGAGGTTAGCAGCCCAACTTGTAACCACTACGCTACCAGAGTCCCTTAGTAGGCTGACCTTATTTTCTCGATTGCTGTGTCTTTTTGCTTCTCATCACCTGGCATAAAATTCACCCCCTTGTTTTTTCTCACACATGAACACTATATTATGGATAGGGGTCTTAAACATATGTTTTAGCTTCTGTATTATAATGTTTTCACATCTACAAAAAATAACCTTTTCTCTACCTATCTCTGCTATACTTCAATAAGATGCCTCCTTAGTTTCACCTTTGGTAGCACCCCAAGCCCAAGTTGAGAGTTTTAAATATAGCTCCAAATAAAATCTCCCTGGGTTCTAGCCTCTCCCCATCATACTTCCTGTGGAAAACACAATAAAGGTGCTTATCCACATCGCTACCTTGTGAGCCACTCTCTGAGTTTTCCCTATGTGTTCTACAGGTCTGTGAGGAACACCAAGGACTATGAATCTAATACTCCTTTAAATGTTTCCAGCCTCTATCTTGTGATTCACATTCAACCTTACCCCACCTCACATACTACTATTAGAGCCAGTTAGAACCATGTGTATCTGTACACTCACCAGGACACAGTCTGCAATTTTACGACTCAGACAAAAGCCTATTATCATGCTTGAAACTGGAATTCCCCAGCCATTCTAACAGAGACCTATAAGACACTGTTTTGGATTTCAACTCATCATAAGATCTAAAATGTAGGAGTCCATGAGTGCTGTAAATGGTTAACATGCTTAGCTGTTAACTTAAGGTTGGAGCATCAGTCTACCTAGAAGTGCCTTGAAAGGAAAGCTTGGCAATCAAAAATCAGCCATGAGTCAAAACTGACTGCAAATGGTTTAAAACCATCTCCATGTTAGGATGGGGACTCCTGGCATGTTGTTGTAAGGGCAGCACTGGAATGTGAACCACAGGGTCGGCAAATTAATCGAACCCACCAGCTACTCCTTGGAAACCCTATACAGGATCTCTATGAGATAGAACTGACTCGATGGCATTTAATAACAACAACACTGCTAGGATGGCAGCTCCGTGGTAAGTGGACTGACAGGATCGTTTCTTCCCTTCTGTGGTTCAAGAAAGCACAGGTACATCTAATTTGGAAGAGAAAATATTTCATAAGGTGGATAATGGTATGTATAATCATGGCATGCTCATCTGTGGGTTTAAAACAGAAATTAAAAGACTTTCATTGTGCTATAAGACAGAGAGAAGTGTGATGAGGTGGTATTATACTATTCTCACCCAAATTAGTAGACAAGATCACTGATGTTTTCTACTATATTATTATTACGGTATTGTTGTTGTTATTAAGTGCCATCAAGTTGGTTTCAACTCATAGCGAACTTGCATAGCATTTTCAAGGAGCGGCTGATGAGCTTAACCGACTTTGCAGTCCAGTGCTGTGCACATTGACCCATAGTGCCACACCAAGACTCCTTATTAGGGTATCGGTGTCCTCAAAGATCAAAGATCAGTCTAGTTATCAAATTCATTGCCTTTCTAAAATAGTGATGATAAGATGGAGCCAAGCTCAGTTTTTAGGGTGAGATTTACCTACCTAATTTTTTCATAGCACGTCCAGTATTTCTTGTTACCCGCTTTAATAACATCTACAGAACAAAAGAGATGTTAGTTCCATTGGAAAAATGGACTGTCATAAAATATCTTTAGTTTTGCAATTAATTAATTTTTCATCTAAATTATCAAAAGAAAAGGAGAGGTTTTCAGGGATTAAACAAGAGCGTGATAGGGCAGGGAAGGAATCCTTTTCTTAGTACAAAGGTTTTTCTCACCTGTTTAACCTGCTTAGAACTTGAGATCTGATCAATGATAGTCATTATGTCTAATTCACCTTGGACATAGCCTTTTAGTACAGCATACCTAAAGGACAGCTGTTGACTCATTGTTTTGTCTATTAACTGCAACAACTTTGGTGTTACAAGCTGAAAAAAACAGGACAACAATTTAATAAAAATCAGACGCATTCTCTTCCACTATATGTTGGTCAGATTTGTTGTTGACACTAAGAAATGAGACACTCTCCAAAGATGGTAGCTTGGAGTAAAAGAGTGACTTCTTCCCTTCTGTAGCTCAGGAAGGCACGTGTTTGTCCGGTTTAGAAGAGAACAGAACTACAATTAACCTGCCAGTGTTCTTGCTTATGTTATGCCTCACTTCATGACTCTGGCTATTTTCCTATAACAAACATTGTTGACCATCTATGTGAAGTTTTTGACTTTATTCTCATTTACAGAAAATAGGATGCTATCTCCAAGTGGTTCAAATTCTTGGAAAACAATGTGATTAATTTGGGGGGCTTAGGTTTTAGTGATGAAGTCCATAAAGTACTTCTGCTTTTTGCGCATTAAATCTACTAAACTTTCGACTAGATTCTCCTTTGGGGTCAGAGCCTGCCACAGCCATATTTCTTTTTAAACTCTACTATTAACTTCTTTGCTCTTCATTTGTTTGTGGGGAGTTTGTTTATACTTTACCATTTTTCAATTATCTTGTCTTCAAAGCTGGTTGTTTCCTGATTTCCCTGTGTATGCTCCACAGTCCCCTCATGCTATCCCCCAAGCACCTGCCAGTTTATCATACTGTGGTGGCTATGTGTTGTTTTGATGCTGGAAGCTATGTCACCAGTATTTTAAATACTAACAGCGTCATCCATAGAGGACAGGTGTCAGCTGAACTGCCAGACTAGGAAGAAGAAAAGGCCGACTACTTATGAATGTTTAGCCACTGAAAACCATATAAATAACAGTGGAATACTGCAAGATTGCACCAGAATACTGAAACATTATAAATAGCATCAGAATATTGTCAGATACAGTACTGGAAGATGAGCTCCTCAGGTTGGAAGGCACTCAAAATACATCTGGGAAGGAGCTGCCTCCTCAAAGTAGAGTTGACCATAATAATGTGAATGGAGTAAAGCTTTTGGGATCTTCATTTGCTGATGGGCCACAACTCAAAATGAGAAGAAACAGCTGTCAACATCCATTAACAGTTAGAACATGGAATGTATGAAATACAATTCTAGGAAAATTGGTATTTGTCAAAAATAAAATGAAGCATATAAACATTGATATCCTAGGCATTAGTGAGGTGACATGGCTAGTATTACTATTTTGAATCTGACAATCACATGGTTTACTATGCCAGGAATGATAAATCGAAGGGGAATGGTGTCACTTTCATTATCAAAAGGAACATTTTAAGATCTACCTTGAAATATAATTGTGACAGGATAATATTCACATGCCTACAAGGAAGAACATGAATGGTGTTGTTGTTGTAGGTCATCAAGTAGTTTAGACTCATAGTGTCCCTGTATAGCAGGGGTGGGCAGATTTTTTTTTTTTTTTTTTTTTTTTTGCCAAGGGCCATTTGGATATTTATATCACTTAATATAAATTTATGGTGCTATGAAAAAAGATTTATTGAAATTCCCACCTATAGTAGCCATGGCAGGGCCAGACCAAATGCGTTTGTGGCCCTCTAAGGAGGCCAGATGCTTCCCATGTCTGCTGTATAGTGTTTCTGAGGCTGTAAATTTTTAAGGGAGCAGAAAGGCTCACCTTTCATGGAGCAGCTGACCTTGTGGTTAGCAGGTGAACATGTAACTCACTATGCTATCCAGGCTCCTCTTAGCATCCCTTGTTGTTGTTGTTGTTGTTAAGTTCCGTCAAGTCGGTTCCGACTCATAGTAATCCTGTATAGGGTTTCTGAGGAGCAGCTGCTGAGTTTGAACCACCGACCTTGCAGTTTAGTGCCACAAAAAGATTCCCTTAGCATCCCTTACAGTCCCATATTATACAAAAGGGAAAAATGTCTTGGAATACACCTCTCTGTGGCAACAAACATTTATAAACATATAAACATTCAGCAATAAAGGTCTGAACACAAAGATTCTAATCTGTTAGCTTTATTGTCACATGAATTATATTTTGTTTAGCTTTCCTTCGCTCAGAGTCTAGCGTATAGATCTCTGGATGTGCTTTTGTGTGTGTCTTGTTTTGTGTTTAAATAGAGAAAGACACAGAGAAAAGGAGAGCAGTATAAATTAACTGTGTCCTCCAAAAAGGTATATTGACCTCCCAATCTATGTAACCTTATTTGGGGAAATGGGTTTTTCTTTGAAGATGTATCTGCTAAGTCTACCAGAATAGGGTGAGTCCTATTCCTACTCCCTCTTTAGTGGTGTCTTAAAAAGGGGAGAGTAGACACAGGCAATGAAATAGTCACATACAGAGTTATGCAGGCACTATGAAAAGACTGAGGTACATGTATCTCATAAGCTTCAAAAATACACCAAGAATTGCCTGCAATCACCAGAAATTGAAAGGGACCATGGAATAGTTTTTCTTTCAAGCCCTCAAAAGAAATTGGCATGGCCGATACACTGATTCAGACCTCCAGAATTGTGAGGACAAGTTTCTGTTCTTTAAAGTCTCTCATTATGAATTAGTTTGCTATGGTAGCCCTAAGGAAGTAAGACACAGGCTATATATCAGGATCGATTTGTGCTTCATATGCCTCGTGTGAGGAATGAGTTTCATGTCACTGAAATTATCATAGAGAAAATAAATAATTACTCATCATTATTGTTACAGAAAAAATTCTGTATTGTGTTAAGCAATGCCAAGATATATTAGATAATCAAATGTAATTTCTGATGCCATGGTTCTAGAATAGTATGGATTTGTTGTTATTAAGTGCTGTTGAGTTAGTTCTGACTCATAGTAACCCTGGATAGTTTCCAAGGAGCGACTGGTAGATATGAACTGCAGATCTTGTGGTTCAAACTGACCTTGTGGTTCAGCACTTTATCCTACAGTGCCATACCAGGACTCCAGTATGGATCTACATAATACAAAATATATATGTATAATTTTTTATCTACATAAATACATGTTTTATGCTTTGTCACTATGAATGGCTCATCTAGTTTTGTTTTGACTTGTTTTGTTGATATTTGTCTTGTATTGCTCAGGTATTTATAAAATTTACGATATTTTGTGTTTGATTTGTTTTTACATTTATATGGAATTTCTCCTCTATTCAAGGGAAATTTTGTCATGAGTAGTTTTACATTCTCGTGTGTTAAATGGATTTTACTATAATTTGGGTCTTAATAATACAAAATATTATAAAGCCTAATTTGTCCAAAGGAAGCTAAAATTTAAAATATAAACATTAGTCTAACAGAAAATGGCAACTATAAGGCTAATAAACCAATTTTAGTACGTATTCCATGAAACAGTTAAGAAATTTGAAATCGCATGATTTAACTATTCTTTACCTTCAAAATACGTAGTAAACGAAGTAGTTCAACAAACTGTAAGAAGTTCTTTACTTTAGTATTTAAATTACTTATATTGGCTGTTGTCTCTTGTGTCTCATAAAATGTTACATCTATGATACCAGCAATTGTCATTGCTAATTCAAATAAGTTCCAGGTTTGTAAAAAATAATCCTTCCTCAAAGCTACCATCTGTTGATTTAAAAATAGACCACATTATTTTGTGTTTGCTTTTAGGATTTCTTGTGCACAATAATAAGAACATCAACATTTAGCATTTTCTCTGATCTAACTTAAGATACTATTTGTCTGGTATACAGTGATAGAAAACCACAATTAAACAAGCACAGTTCACACTTTTCCTGTTGTTGAAGGGAGGAAATCTCACAGGATTGTTGATATAGGTTAGCACAGATGGCTGACTACTAAGCTGAAGCTTAGTGGTTCAATGCCACCCAGCTGTGTTGTAGAAGGAAAGCCTGACCAACTGCTTCCATTAAGATTGTTGTTGTTGTTACGTGCTGTCAAGTTAGTTCCGACCTATAGCGACCCTGAAAAGGGTTTCCGAGGCTGTAAATCTTTACAGGAGTAGAAAGCCTCATCTTTCTCCCGCGGAGCAGTTGGTAGTTTCAAACTGCTGACCTTGCAGTTCGCAGCCCAATTCGTAACTACTACACTACCGGAGCTCCTCCTATTTAAGATTACAGCCAAGAAAACCCTATGGGGGAGTTCTACTCTGTAACTCATAGGTGCAACCTGTATGCTGAGCAAATAATTCGAGAAGCTGGGTTCTATGAAGAAAAATTGGGCATCAGGATTGGAGGAAGACTCATTAACAGATGATACCACCTTGCTCGCTGAAAGTGAAAAGGATTTAAAACATTTACTGATGAAGATCAAACAGCACAGCCTTCGGTATGGATTACATCTCAATGTAAAGAATACAAAAATCCTCACCACTGGACCAATAAACAACATTCTTATCAACGGAGAAAAGATTGAAGTTGTCAAGGTCTTCATTTTTCTTGAATCAACTATCAATACTATTGGAAGCAGCAGTCAAGAAATCAAATGACGTATTGCATTAGGCAAATCTGCTGCACAAGACCTTTTTAAAATGTTTAAGAGCAAGGATGTCAGCTTGAGGACTAAGGTGCGTCTGACCCAAGCCATGGTGTTTTCAACAACCTCATATGCATGCGAAAGCTAGACAGTGAATAAGGAAGACCATAGAAGAATTGATGCCTTTGAGTTATGGTGTTGGAGGAGAATATTTAAAGTACATGGGCTGCCAAAAGAACCAACAGATGCATTTTGGAAGAAGTGCAGCCAGAGTGCTCCTTGGAGGCCAAAAATGCTCAAACTTTGTCTATCATACTTCAGACATATTGTCAGGAGGGACTTCTCACTGGAGAAGGGTATCATGTTTGGTAAGGTGGAGGGTCAAAGAAAAAGAGGAAGATCCCCAATGAGATGGATTGGCCAAGTGACAGCATCAGTGGACTCAAGCGTGGCAACAGCAGTAGTGAGGTTGGTGTAGGATCGGTCAGTGTTTCGTTCTGCTGCGTATAAGGTCGCTATGAGTTGGTACCGACTTGATGGCACCTAACAACAACAACAACATAGGTGAAAAGAAATGAATTTATATAATGACAGCAGATTAAAGTAAAACAACACCTGAAAAAGTCAAAAATGGAAGGACAGTCAAATTCAAACCATAAACAGTATTCGAGGGCCGTTTCATTTCAAACAAACAGTCCTGAATACCACATTAATCCTGGGGGTTGTGTCTCATTTTACAGTATTTTACAGTTGAGATCCACAGTGGTGATAGTGATATTGAGCAATCAAGAAAAAGTTATGTACTCTGTGTGATGTGATAATCATTCAAGAGATTTATTAAAGTAATTCAAAATTTAAAGGTTTGTTTATTAAAAGGTTACACTTTATTCACTGGCAAAGTGGCAGCATCAATGGGCTCAAGAATGGCAACAATTGTGAGGTTGGCCCAGGACTGGGCAGTGTTTCCTTCTGTTATGTATAGGGTTGCTATGAGTTAGTACTGACTGGATGGCATCTAACAACAACACACATCAACTAATATCAGATGTAATTCCTTATTTATATTTCCTGGTTATAAATGTTTTATATTACAGCTTACTGTTGATCTGTATGACATATAATTGTTGTTGGTAAGTATCATCAAGTTGGTTCAAACTCATAGCAACCCTGGTTTCAGCATATATTTTTCATCACCTAACAATTACCTTTTCAATGGATTTAAAAAAAAAAAACAAGTTATAAAATATATATATTAAAAAAATCTACCTATATAAGTAAGTATCTGAGTCCTGATGTGGTATTGTAGGATAAGCACCAGGCTGGTAACTATAAAGTTGGCATTTCATGCCCACCAACTGCTCTTGGGAAACCCTATACAAGGTCACTATGAATTGGAACTGGCACAATTGGAACTGGTCACTATGACTGGATGGCACAAAACAGCAGCATATAAATTATCTATTTGCCTATCTAGTATAAATATAATAAAATGAACATCCACAGACCACCACCTTGCATAAGTTTAGGAAGACTGGCAGTAACTTTGAAACTTACTCTGTGCTTTTTGACACACACCACTTAAAAATGGATTTGTGCAAATGCAAAATCAATATTTAAAGCATGCATTTTTTTTATTCAGTTACCCAGCAATCAGATTAAATGTTAAAGTATATTTATTTGCTTTGAGAACTGAAAGACAGTCTCATACACCCTTTAAGAGCTGTCTGCACATAGTGATGAAAAATGAACTTAGAAAATCTCCATGTTAAACACATGACATTTGCTCACTCAATACATATGCACATACAGATTTTAGATTACCTTAAATATGACTTCTATGATATAAAATCCAAGAAAAGAGTAGTTAGCTCGTTTTAATTCTTTATGATAAATTTTACTTAAAATGGAATTCCAAGAATTTATAATAGGAAACAAATTCATTAGTATCACAAGGTATCCAACGTATTCAAATTCATCAGTACATACTATGTTATGAAATTGTTGAAATAAGAAATATCTGTAAAAAATAAGTTTGATATAGTGAAATAATTACGTTAGAAAATTTCCATTATATACTCTGTTCTGTTCCAGTCATCCCCAGAGCCACAGATCCCTGCTTAATTCTGGGAAACAATGAGTGGTAGTCAATACTTTCTGACATTCTGGGTTAGACAGCATCCATTTACCTGTCTTCTCTGCTAAATATCTTGAGACTAGTTTCCCTTAATTCTTTCTCTCATCTCTCATTCTCTTGTTACAATTTTACTTTTAATATAGTTCTATGCCTAAGAGGAATAATTTAGACTGGAAATACTTTTATTTCATTCACAATAATTCAATTTCTCAGTGATGACTATCAAAAACAATTTGAGTATTCTTTCAGTCTTTTCATGTCTATATACTATGAAGCTAACAAGCCTGAGTCTCCGGACTTCTCTCTCACACAAATACTGTTTCCAAGGACTTGAAGGGCCCTAGTCATGTGATCACATAGTTCTATGGTTTCTTCTTTTTTCTTAAACAGAATCTCAAGGTATAATAGGCTCAGACCCTACATAACACACATCTACCCTTGAGAATGTGCAAATAATCTTGTTCTTACCCAGTCTTCCATTAGGAATTCTTTTGTCATTTTCTTTTAGTTTGAACAGTAATAGCATATTATTGTATTACATGAATAATTTTAAATAACATAAAAATTAAATCCTCTACCTATAATTCTACTCTCTAACATAATTTGTATGGAAACTGGTTTTCAAAGCATATACACTAATTTTTAAAATGTTGATAATGTTTGGATATATTCTTTTCCACTACTGCATATCATACCATGTTAAGAGAAGAAACAGTAAGTCAAAGAGCAATATGTGTGATACATTTCTTTTTTGTGCTTATAGTTAATGATTATATGGATGCTATTTGGCCAGACATTAAGAATATTCATTCCAATTATATACTCATGAAGAAGATGTACTGGACTCTCTTTAAGGCAAATTGGGTCAGAAATTATTTATATTTTATAGGTTGCTAAAAGTCCCACTTTAATGTGAGGACCACGGTAACAGTGTAAGTCTTTGACACTGGTGTCATCTTAAATGCCATATTGTCCAAAATTCCTCAAAATGCTTTTCTTTCTTTCTGTTTTTTTTTTTTTTTTTCTTTTTCTCCCCATTTCACAGTAACTCTGGTAAAATGGCTGAAGGTTCAAATGAGAAAATATTGAGGTGCTCTTGTAAAGTCCTTTTTAGAGGCTCTGATTCTGAGGATCGATTCGGATGTAGAAAAAGGATGATGGATAATTATATTTCTTTGCATTGTCTAATCTCAGTCCCTTGCTCACCAGCTCTTTCTTTCAACAACTCAGGTAACATCCTAAATTAACTGTTCATCTATATTGAGCGATTTTGGAGTCCTTGTATGGCACTGTAGGACCAGTAAGCCGGCAGTTCAAGCCCACCAGCTGCACCTCAGAAACCCTAAATGGGGTCGCTATGAGTCAGAACACATGGCACTTAACAACAACAACAGCAATATTGCCATTTGATTCACCATTATTTGTTAACCATTTCCATAAGTCTCTGCAGGGCAAGGAACCTGGATTGCCACTCTTCATTTGTTGTCCATAAAAGCAAGTATATCCACCTTGACTCTAATATTTAAGTTTTACCCTTTGGCTTTGGAGTCCTTGTGTGATGCTGTAGGATAAGCACTGGACCACAAGGTTGATTTGAACCTCAAAGGTGGCAGGCAGTTCAAACCCACTAACCACTCCTCAGAAACCCTATACAGGGTCACTATGAGTCAGAACTGACTTGACAGCACTTAACAGCAACAACATTTGGCTTTGACCTTGTCCATGCCCCAACCTCATCAACAGTTTTGATACTAGAGAGACTAATTTCCTTTTTTATGTTAACCATGACCATGAATTTATTTTGTCTAGATCCACAGTCAACACTCATGCAAGCAGCAATCAAGAAATCAAATTACATATTGCATTATGCAAATCTGCTGCACAAGATCTCTTTAAAGTGTTCAAGAGCAAAGGTATTAGTTTGGGGACTAAGTAGCGCCAGACCAAACCATGATATTTTTAAAAGCCTCATATGCATGTGAAAGTTGGACAACCAATAAAGAAGACCTTAGAAGAATCAATGCATTTGAGTTGCAATGTTGGAGAAAAATACTGAAGATACCACGGAGTGTCAGAAGAACAAACACGTTTGCATTGGAAGAAGTACAACTGAGTGCTCCTTAGAAGCCTTCAAGAGGAACCAATCCCTAGAGAAGGACATCATGCTTGATGAAATTGAGGATTATAGAAAAAGAGGAAGACCCCCAATGAGATGGATTGACACAGTGGCAGCAGCAATGGGCTCAAGCATAACAATGATTGTGAAGTTGGCGCAGGACTTGGCAGTGTTCCCTTCTGTTGTGCATAAGGTTGTTATGAGTTAAAACTGATTAGACAGCACCTCACAACAACAGCAACATGACTAGCAGAGGATATCTATCACCAGTTTTCCCAGAGAGCTTGCTACTGCCTTAATGAAAGGATTGTCCTCTGGGTCTTCTGATTAGGTCATGTGATTAGTCCTTCATGATTAATCTAGTCAAATATTTCCAACTTTTATCATCTGCACTTTATTCACTGTTGTAGGTCATTGGCTCAGTCAAGCTTCCAAGATCCATCACAGGAGTGTAAGAATTATCTCTAAGTGACATTGAACCTTCAGTAATCATACACCAGATCATCCATGCCAGTATGTTCTTCCTCAGCTAATGTTCATATTGCAATCTTTTGGTCCAATGCACTCAAAGTTTCATTCCCTTATATTTTACCAATATTTTCTGATATTAGTCAGATCCCATAATTGCTTCGGTAGATAAACTATAACCTCCTGAAGGCAGGCACAATATTTCCCCCTTCTGCTATGTTGAGACCTGAGCTGGTTATTACCTTGGAAGCAATGCAAGCCAGTAAGCAAGCCAGATCTTTAAAAGGACAAACATCATCTTGTGAGACCTTTGAAGTATTGCAAGGTGAGAGACTACCCTTCTCTAGCAGGGAGAAGGAAGCACTTCTGTTAAGCTAGATTGTTCTGAGAATCTGACAGCTAAAGATTCTCAATTTAGCCCATCCAAATCTTACCATTTCAGGACAGAGATTCCCCATCTTTGTCTACAAGGACCCTGACATTGACATTGAACCCTGCCAAGGCAGTAGACTTATTCCCCTTTGTACAGTTATAGATCACATATGCTATATTAATTTGATTACTAAATTATGATTAATTTGACTTTTAAAATGTCAAGAATCACATGTTTGTTTTTCTTGCTGTTATAGGATTTTATTATTTGTTTTCTTACTTTTGTATTTGGTTTATTTTGACATATACCAGGTACTTTAGGTAAATACAGAGTCAAACTTATGAGTCTATATTTTGTTAATTTAAATATTTTAAGAATATTTTTAGCCCACATTGAAAAATCACAATACCTGAAATTCTAAGGATTTAAATCTGTTTTTTTTTCCATAATTGGTGTTTTATTGCTTGATTTAAGGATCAGTACAGAAACATGAACAATTTGTACACAATTCTCAATGTACTTACCAAAAATCTAAGAGCCAGGCAGTTACTATTAGTTTCTAAATTCCAGTGACTTCCAACCTTTAAATTTGGAGGCAAATTTTTCTTTGTACTAAAATTTTCTTGTAACCAAATTTTTCAAGCACTAGCATCTTCAATTGTTGATAGTCATACTGTTGTTATTAGGTGCCATCAAGTCAGCACCGACTCATAGTGACACTATGAATGACAGAATGAAACATTGCCTGGTCCTGTGCCCACATCACAATCGTTGCTATGCCTGAGCCCATTAGTGCTGCCACTGTGCCAACCCATCTCATTATGGCCATTCTCTTTTTCTCTGTTCTTCCATTTTACCCAACATGATCTTCTTCACCTGATAATATGTCCGAAATGTGAGAGACGTAGTCTGGCCATCTTGGTTTCCAAGGAAAATTCTGACTGTGCTTCTTACAAAATGGGTCTCTTTGTTTGTTTGGAAGTTAAGGTACTTTTAATATTCTCCTCCAACACTATAACTCAAATGCATCAATTCTTCTGTAGTCTTTCTTATTCACATGCATATTGAAAATCCCATGGTCTGGGTCAGGCACAACTTAGTCCTCAAACTGACGTCTTTGCTATTGAAAATACACTTTAAAGAGGTCTTGTGCAGTACATTAGCCTATGAAATACATCCTTTGATTTCTTCACTGCTGCTTTCATGAGTATTGATGGTTGATACAAACAAATTGAAGTCTTTGACAACTTCAATCTTTTTTCCATTATATGGATGTGGTCTATTGGTGTAGTGGTGAGGATTTTTGTTTTCTTTGTGTTGAGGTGCAATCTGTACCGAAGGTTGTGACCTTTGATCTTCATCAGTAAGTACTTTAAGTCTTCTTCACTTTAAGCAAGCAAGGTTGTATTATCTGCATATCGCAGAATATTAATGACTCTTCCTCCAATCTTGATGCCACTTTATCCTTCATATAATCCAGCATCTCGGATTATTTGCTCAGCATACAGATTGAATAAATATGGTGAAAGAATACAACCCTGGTGCACACCTTTCCTAATTTTAACACATTCAGTGTTCCCTTGTTCTGTAACTAAAACTACCTCTTGGTCTATGTACAGATTCCTCATGAACACAATTAAATGTTCTGGAATACTCATTCTCTGCAGTGTTGTCTATAGCTTGTCATGGTCCACAGAATCGAAAGCCTTTGCGTAGTCAATAAAGGACAGGTAAACATCTTTCTGGTATTCTCTACTTCCAGCCAAGATCCATCTGACATCAGCAATGATATCCCTCATTCCACATCTTCATCTGAATATAGCTTGAACCTCTGTGAACCTCTGGAAGTTCTCTGTCAATGCATGCTTGCAGCCATTTTTGTATTGTCTTTAGCAAAATTTTATTTGCCTATTATATGAATGATAT